GATGAATAACAGACATTTTTTGTATTATTGATCTTTTCCCGGTACTTTCTTGACAGAGTAGTACTTAGCACCAGCGTGTATAAGGCACTAGCTGTTGTCTGTTATTTGAAACGTTAAAATGTGTAGTCTATTTCAAGGACTAAAACATAACCAGCATATTTATTATAACACCATAAAGACGTCTTCTTGTTTTATAATAAGTTTTTACTGCGCTCTGTGATGGAATGTTAACAGCAGAAAAAATACCTATTAAACTTTAAAGAATGTTTGACTAAAATAATATAATTAAAACAACGAGAGATACTCTTACTAACAATCATTTATTATACTTTACAAAAGTTACAAAACTGTAAATTTACCGGTAAATTTCGTTCGTAAAAAAAGTAGGTATCAAAGTCCGTAAGAGTAGCAGTTGTTGTCAATTCAAAGGATTAGGTAACCAAAAGTCCACCAAACAAAATCCAAGTCGTCAATTAAACCAACAAATTAACACGAGTGCGCACAGTATGAAGCCGAAACAACGTGTGAGATAGATAGATCACCAACGCGCTCGCCCCTCTACTACCTGCTTCCCTGCCCCTCTACCCGCTCACGTATTTTCGGGTTACCTGTCGCTAAGAGCGGAGGATCACACACAAACAGACAGGATTTTTGTTTAATTTCATTTTATTTCATTTGATAGTAGGTCCCTAAGGATATTAAGAACGTTATTACTGCAATATGAACATAAACAAAGTTAGATTAGCTCTAACTTGTAGTAATAGTTCTTAAATAGTACGTACTATATGATATGTACATAATCTACACATTACTTATTTGTTACATGTGTTAAATATGAAAAAACCCGAATATTTTCCCATTCGGGAATTTTCCCCGGGTTTTTTCCCGGTTTTTTCCCATATTCGGGTTTTTTCCGGGTAAAATCCCATCTCTACTTCCAAGTATAAAGCGATGTTAGTACGAGTTAGGAGCCAAACCTTGACGTAGGTATCACACTCCACACTAATATTATAAATGTGAAATTTTCTTTGTGTGTTTGTTCTGCTCGATGCTCATGGGATAAAGCAGGTATCATAATCTACGAGAACGAAGTCGAAGGCAACGGCTGGTAAAAAATACGTACGATATCATATATGTTAAAATATTTATCAGAGTAACAGGAACTTAATCAGGCATTGTGGAATAGATCCTAAATAATATAAATCCTTAAGTTAAAATAACTTTAATTTTAAAGCAAGGAATATTTCTCCAATGACTACAATATCTTCCATTGTAAAACCTTTACTTAAATACCTCGATGTCGTATGTACCTTTAAAATGATGTATCTAAAGTAGATACAACTTATTTTTTTACCCATACTAAGAAAATTAAAGACTGGGTTGATTTTGATTAGATAGCAATAAATTAGTTTACTTAATGTATATAGTTATATACCTAGTTCAATTGTGTTTAAAAGTTGAAATAAAAAATTATTCACTTCATTATGCGTGTTTTGTTTAATATTATTTAAAGATTTCTTTTAGTCGTATAAGTCTGTGGGTTTTGTGCCTAAATGTGGGAAATTTCCGTACAAATATCCTCCCATAGATAAGACCTTTTGAACGTAGGTAGACAAATACATGGTTGTTTTGAAAGGTACCTGTTTTTTTTTTTTTCTTCTTTGGCAACTGAGTCTCCAAAATGGTGTTGTCGACTATACTGCCAGTGTCGAGTGACAGTATAGTCGTACCTGTTTACAGCTTGGCAAAAAGAGTTTGACGCGATGACAGCTGGATCTAACATTGACTCTTGACTGACTGGGTGACTCAGTCCATGTGAATATAATTATATTAGTTCGGACCTCGAACCAGATCCCCAGAATAAACAATCATACGAACATAGGACTGCCTCGATGGCCGAGTGACAGTGGGAAAAGTATTACTGGGTTTTGTAAAAAATCTTAGTAGTAATCTGGAATTGTGCCCGGTAAATGGCAATAGGCTCACCCCCTATTACTATTACCGTAATGTGCACCTTTGCCTACCCCTTCGAGATATTTAACAAATATCAAAACCGATTGAGTCGTTGTGTACCAGGTTTGCCAATGCCACAGGTACACTACTAGCGACCTCAATTATTTATTCCGAACTATTTTTTTGCCGAGCTGTAAGTACATACAAATTTATATTTTTTCTGTCCTTGACAATACGACATAAAAAACTTGGAAGTTGTAAACGGGTTGTTAGTTGCTATTATTACAAATCTATAAAAGAAAACACATAATATTTTAGAACGTTTATTTTTACCATCAACACGTTATTAGGCATATACTTACACAGAAACAACAATATTTGTGATAAGAATTTATATTCTCGTCACAATACTATCAACTAACAAACCTAACCGATATCGATATGGCAACACTTCGCTTCGATTACTCGATATTTTATTTCTAAATCGATAATCATATTATTAAATATTGTCTTTATTTTTATTTATTATATCTTATAGATAACACTAATATTTATAATTCAAACAATAAAAACAGGCATAATTAATGTCAGTGCGTCTAGCTTTTTATCTAAAACGGTGTTATTTTTTCAATTTTTGTTTAATATTTAAGTATACAAAGCTAAATTGCTAAAATTTATAAATAAAATAATATAGTCATAAGATTCGATATACTTTTAAATCCATGTAGAAGAACATTATTTTTAATTGAAGAATCATTAAATAGGTTATGATATTGATTGATTTCATAGCTGCCCTTCACGAATACAATTTTAATATTATCTAAATACTTTATAAACGGTATTATTATAACGCTAAAATAAAATAATTAGGTACATAGGGGACTTCATTTCTACACGTTTTTGTATTAGGCACACAATTTGATTTAACTAAATAAACTAAGACGAACTAGAAAAATAAGACGTTATAAAGTCGTTGTGCGTTCCGTAAAATAGCACTGCGTTTCATTGTTGATTAATGCTATAGAATGTGCTTTTAAGTTCTAACTAAACAATAAATTCTAATATTAATATATTATGAGTCTACCTATTGATAATATATTGATAATTTTATTAATTAAATACACATTGCTTTGATATAGGTTCTAGCATCTTTAATTCAAACGAAACGGTATTTAAATCTTTCCTTAGCCACTTTTAACTAAGTAGTTTACATATTTTAAGCAAGATTTTATAGTGTAGGTACTAATCGTGATTTTCTCAGTAATTTGAAGGTTATAATAGATTTTATTTTATTTAATTGACATTAAATAACTGTCTACATTTTTGGTTCGCCATAATTATTATTATTTTCCAACAACACTTAGATATATATAGCATTACAGATATTTACATTTAGTAAATAGTAAAATGCTAGCAACTGGCGGGACAACTATAGAGTACACAATAGAGGTTATTATTATATCGTAACATAAAGCAATAATTACATATGTTTTGCCATAGAAGAAAAAAAAATTACATATGTCAGAATCTGTTAGTCAGAAGGCGCCACCGTAGCATATTTACGCCTCCGAATTCTCTCCGTGCCCATATTTAGGGAATTGTTTATTTTGGAGTATTATTTTAGTTTAAACTTAATTAGTAAATGAATTGCATCAGTAGTTAATAAAGTAGCTTAAATCACACGTAGCGTAGGACACGCGCGCTACAGTAACGCCACCTGAGTATAACAATTCGTTTGTCATATTTTAGGTTCTGATTCTACTTTGTTTGAAACAGTTCAAAATTATATCTGTACATACTGTAGGTACTATAACTTATATTATTCCGAAAAACTTTAAATAATAATAAAAAAATAGTATATTGAACAATAAAATAGAAACATGGAAACTTCGTATTCTGAGGCAAATACCAGTACCTACTGTCGCACAATAATAACATAACATATAATTAGATTATACACACTATTAACTAATAAACGTAGAATAATATAGCTATATATATAATTGTACCTATATACATTCCTACTTTAGATATAATGGCATAACAACATCAATTGGCGTCGCTTTATATGTTTGTGCATAATGTTCAAGATATCTTATATATTTAGGTGTTATATTGATATTTATGTACAACATATTAGTCAGGTAAGTGCCTCCATTTCTTTCTTATATAAATATAGTTATTTATATCATTAAATAAATGCCGATATGACAACGAAAGTCCATTTAATCAACGTGTTGTTTAATATATATAAAAGAGACAAAATGGACGCACGTACCTTCATTAATATGTACACAAGAAATATAGGTATATATAAATGATTAATATATAAGAGTTATATATTAAGATAACAAACAACATTCAATATCACATCAAAGACGTAGCATAATCGTATATTAAGTATATTTGAATATTTGATTTTTACAGTCATTTGTTTGAAAAAGATCCTATGCTTACATAGGTAGGTACTTGAAAGAAATATGCTTTTAATATGTTTCAAATGAAATCGGAGAGTCAATGACCTCTGCTTGCCAAAATTTCACTTGAAAATGTGCATTGTTAATAAAATTGTGTGATGTGATTGTGAATTTGTGACATTGTATCTTTTCTGCATCTATATCTCACTTATCACATTTTGTTTGAATAATATTTTTAACGGTATCTATTTCAAACAAAAGACTGCTTTCTTAAATAGACAGTGCTTAAATATTAACTGCTGGCTTGCACAATTTACAGTTGACTAATCTAATAGATGATTCATGTCCTCTATACATTCAACAACAATTATGCGTAGACAATAAACTAGATACTATAATCATTTTAAAAGCATCTAAAACAACGTGAGTATTACTTAAAATGTATATTTATTTTTATTGTCACAAGGTAGAATATTCTGCATTTTATAAATATGTAGATTATATATAGAGTCATAGATTAAAAATATTTTTTTAATATCAACAGATTGTAAACAACTTAGCTCAAAGCGTAACAAATGTAAAAATAAATAAAAACTATAATATCATAGACACGATATCTTGTGTCGTATCTATTTAAGATTATTGTCGTATTATTCTTTTTAATATTTAATTAAATAATTAAATATATAAAAAATACCAGTCTTTAACAATAAATATATTAGCTATAGCAAATGTTTTTTGAAGATTTTATTGTCAATCATTATTTATAGGTAGGGAAGATTATTGTCAATTATTTCTAAAACATTTAGCCGTTTTAATAAAGGCTATTCGAAAACGAATTTTTATTTTCTAACACTAAATTTCTATTATAGGTATGCGTAATATAAAAATTCAACAGTAGATATAAACGGCTGGATATGAATCCTAGATATGGACAGGTGAATTTGGATATGTTTCCAAAAGATATCTTTATTGTCTATAATTTCGATAAGATGACATTTAGATAAAATGGTACATAGTTACCTATACATTATATTATAAAATGTTTCTAAATGTCAGCGATGTTATAATCATGTTAAACTACTTATTATTGTATATCTAGGTATTATATTCACTGAGCGATCCATTCATGTATAACCTATGTATAAATTCACATCTATTATTTTTGTTTTAAGTAATAAATATATTCCCCGATATCTTAGTGAAATTGTATAAATAAAAATAATTTGCTCTTAACATTTTCTCTTTTACTAACTTTTCGTTCTTTTTTTTATTGTCTTTGCGCAACTTATCGTCATAGCAGCCATATTAGTTTAGGTAGGTACTGCTACTAAAACCGCGGGAAATCAATTATTCCAACAATACAAAGGCTGTCACACGGACGACGTTTCGATGCAACTTCTATCAACTTCGAACGAAATACCTTATTCTGTGATACTCTCCAAAATTAAGATGGCAGAGAAAACAGTTACTTGTGCTAATTTTGATCGGAAACTACTCCTCATCGTCGGTATCACAGCATCCAGGCCAGCAGCAACCTTCGGAGCCATCAGGTCTTGTGCAGAACAACAGAGTTTCTGTCGTGGAGACAGGTCTTGGCTCAATGCCATGGAAGTCCCGTAACTCCTCAGCGGGAAACCACGCGCGTTCCTCGTCGTCTATTATGGGCACGCCGAAGTATCTGGAATTCATATTACGTGTCTTATTTTCCTCGAAGGCATCCATGTACCATGTAAAGTTTCTTCGATAATCCCATACACTGCCAAAATACTTATAGAGTACTTGTTAATGATTTTTAATATCTTGCCTCCTGGTTACTTAGAGAAGTCTTAAAAATAAATCACACAAACGTCTATCATATACATGGAATAGTAAAAACTAATTAGGTATACACGCTGACATATTGATGGTTGTTTTCCCGCAGCAGAACGATTTCCCTTTAGTAGTACTATCGAATAATGCAAGTTACTTTTTGAAAAAATAATTTTTTTTCTCCTCATATACTCAAAAAAATAATCATCAACTCGAAAGCATGAGAAACGATAGTTTCTCTTCTAAAATGTGACGTCAAATCAATGTTCATAGTAAAATAATCTCTCGGACTAAGTAATACAGCATAAACTGCAATGCACGCGCGCGCGAGCGGATCGCCTCACGACAAACAACAAAGGCAACCACCGCGCTCTCTGTCACTCGCATCGGCCCGCATCGCCTCGCATCGCTTTCATTCACACCAGTCGCACCGCGAACGCCGTCCGCGCAACCACGCAAGCGCAGTACAATATTATTGCCGCCAAAATGGATCGCCATTACGTTTTTTCTAATGTGGAGTACGTAGCTATGGTGCAATTGTACGCGAGGGCGAATTATGATTTTTGGGCTTTTAATAACCCACACGTTATTCGGGAATGTGCGCATCAAGTGCGGTTTAGTGTAAACGTGTGGGCCGGTATAATAAACGGCTGCTTAATTGGTCCGCATTTTGTGACAGGACACTTAACCGGTGAAACGTACCTACAAATGCTACGTAGTGTTATCCCGGACTTACTAGATGACATTCCGTTAGCAGTGCCCATGGATGGCCTGTATTACCAGCACGATGGTTGCCCTGCGCATTATCAGCGCGCCGTGCGAGAGCACCTCGACTCGGTGTTTCCCCAGCGTTGGATCGGTCGTGGCGGGCCAGTGCCATGGCCACCACGAAGCCCGGATCTTACTCCACTAGACTTTTATTTGTGGTCTAATCTCAAACGCCTTGTGTATCGGCAAGAGTACGAAACTCGCGACGCGTTAAAAAGTGCGATAGTGGACGCTTTTGATGTGATTAGACGTGACAGAGACACATTATTAAAATTGAAAGCCAATCAGTTAAAACGTGCACGATTGTGTGTGGAACGCGGTGGCTTACACTTTGAACAATTGCTCCGTTACCGGGAAGTGTAAGTACTTGTACATTTGTAAATAAAACAATAAGATAGGTGATTAAAATCATTGTAAATACGTTGATTCCCATTTTTTAAATACGCCATAAATACTTTCCCAAATTCAGTAATAAACAAGATAATATCTCTTGATTAAATTTTGTTTTATGTTTGTGTTTAGTAAGTGTAGTTAAAAAGTATTTACGACGGCCCTAAGCCCGTTAAAGTATGAAGGGAAAATGGAAATCACTTGTTAGTAAATACTGAGTTATCAGCCTTTTGATAAGCGCGAGCGACAATGACAGCGGCCGGTGGCCGGTCGCGGCGGTACTATTGGTTCGCGGTTTCTTTCAAGTTTCGTGTATCACTATCGTAAAACTGCTATTTTTTTATTTAATTTAAAAACAACTTTCTCAATCTATTGTACTACTAAAATAGAATCATTTTACTGTGGGAAAACAACCATTAAAATATCACGGTGTATATAACGTGTAATGCTTACATTAATTAATGACTGTTGATTGATGAAGCAAAAGAGGTGTGAGGCAAAAGAGGATTCGTAGTAATTGGCGTTCCATAGTTATGTAATGCTTACCTTCTTCCTTGTCCTAACGACCCAAAGTCGAGTTTGACCTCTGATACAAAATTTTGCAATTTCTCGCGGTATCTGGCAACTTCTCAAATCCTCCCTCGTCGTACTTATATTAAAAAACCTAAGATTCTACTTAACAAACAGTATAGGTATTTCCCAGTACTAACCTGGCAATAGCAACGACAGGTATCCACAAGACGGACGCCAGGACCAACACAAGGACGAGCAAAACAGCCCATACAGGCCAAGTCTTCCTCTCCGTGTCTCCGGCAGACCTGATCCAGGCGTCATATCCAGAACCTTCAGTAGCAAGCTCCACGAACGAGGATATTAGGATGGACAGCATCGCTAGAGGAGACAGGTACTTCCAACATATCAACCAGTAGATCCCCGGTCGTGTGCCTGTCATTAGCTGAATGTCATCCGCAAACCTGTAAATGAAAAAAATATTATTAACATCTCTCCCTTTTCTCGTGGAATAGCTAGAGGTACAATGGCATAGACGTTACATCTATTTAATTGCCAGGTATAAGACCTACTAAATATGGGATGCGTTAAAGAAAGATTATCCTTACTAATATTATAAATCGGAAAGTGAGTTTGTTTGTTTGTTCCGCTTTCAAGCCGTAACTACTAAACCGATTGCTGTGAATTTTTGCAGACGTAAAGTTAGAAGTCTGGATTAAATAATAGGGTACTTTTTATCCCGGAAAAATTTGATATTCTCGAGGGAAAACGAAATTATTGGTATAGATAGCGCTGTGTGTATTGGTATATGTCACGTAGGCTACTTTTTATCCTTTTGTGACGCGAGCGAAGCCGCGGGTAAAAGCTAGTATTTTTATAAAGTAATTCTTATTGAAGGTAAAGCCAGCCAGCCAGGCAAGTAAACAAAATTCACAATAATACTCCTATTAATGTGAATTTTGTTAATCGTAGATCCCACATAATATAATACTTTACCCAACTCGAAAATAAAACACTGACTTTACCTTCAATAAGATTTAATTTATAAAAATATAACGAGACGACTGTAATAGATATAATCTGTCCTCCCATTCCGTCCGACTCGCCATATGGCGGGCGGAGCGGTCGTCATTAGGGAAAAAATAAGCGTACCAAGGGACGCTTCAAATTTTCAGATTGGTACAACATATCGGTTTCAGCCTAAAATGTTTTGATTGAAACTATAATGGAGGGTTTACATGTAAGACTTATTTATTTTATTATGTTTCTTCTTTCGTTTGATATGTATTTTGTTTAAAAATGTAACTGAGTTTCTTAGGCCCGGGCCGCACTAGGGAGATACAGCGACAACAACAAGAAACATATCGAGGGATAACGGACTATTTGGTTTAAGCGACATTTTGGGCGATATTGAGTTATATATATTCGAATTTTTCTCCGTCGAATATATATAATAGCTCAATATCGTCCAAAATTTCGCTTAAACCAAATAGTCCGTTACCCATCGATATGAACAAGTGACTACAGTGCGACGCACACAATGCAATAGAACGCAGTTATTTAAACAACAACTTTAGCAATTCACCATTTTACTACCGCGCGCGGTCGAGGCAGTCTCTCTATCTATATAGCTGTACTATAGGGGATCCCATTTTGCAAAGAATGATCGCCCATTCAACTGTAATCCGTGGATTAGCCGCAGCAACCGTGGCTTAACCTCTCAGATTAATTTACTCGTCCATTTGCTCCCATTTCTACGTTAAAACAAACATGATTGGATGTCCGAAATTGACCCCGTTTATAATTTTCTACTGTCTGTTTTAATTCGTGAAATCTACATGTTTAAGCAAAACAAGATCGTGTTACCTACACCAGTCGATTGTTTACTCGATTCTCGTGACTTTATTTATTACTAGCTTCTGCCCGCGACTTCGTACGCGCAATCCCGTTTCTCCCATTCCCGTAGGATTTTCAGGTCTTTTTTCTGTCATAAAAACCTTCTCCTGACCATAACCAACACAACAAAAAAAAATCAGCCAAATCGGTCCACCCGTTCTCAAGTTATGGCGTGACAACGGGAAACGGGTTTCATTTTTATATAGGTATATAGATATAGAATAACATAAAATTACGTCTTGCCTTTTAATCCTCGAAGAGATAGGTAAGAACTACATTTCCCCAGTTACATTGGGTACCTGTGTGTATGTACCTAACATACATTCAGTTTTAATCATATAACGTTTGAAAATCCGAGTAAACCACAATAATACTTTATCTAACCAGCAGCTGTAGCCAAATGCCATTTAGCGCTTGTCTACATGTAGAATAGAAAACTAAATTGTATGGAATTGACGTAAATTTTGACACTTCAGTGTCATCCCCATACATTTTGATTTCTACTCTCTCTGTAGACAAGCGCTAAGGTGGCGTTTGGCTAAAGGCACTGGGAAGCTAGGTCTTTGCGTCTACTCGTCCAGTAAAACAGCCAGCCTCTGAAATAACTTTGGTTAAACCAAAATGTGTTTTCTGTTGAACCGAATCCGGTAACGTATCGACCAAAAGGAAATATTACATAAGCTGTACTGAACAAACCCGAGGGATATTTATCTATATGTACCCACGTAGGAAGCTAAGTATTGTACATTATGTTGATGGTATATTGGATATTTTAGGGTGAATTGAACTGGGCCATCCAAATAGATGTTTATATTTCTAACTACACTAAACTACAGATATATTAAAGAAGTTGTTCGAGTTTCAAGTTTAACAGGTTCATAGTGATAATAGATATAAACGTATTTTGGAATATACACTTCTAAGGAAAGGCCAAGTTATTTCCCCGAAAATTATCAGATACTTAGCTTTTGCCCGCGACTTCGTACGCGCAATTCGGTTTTCTCCCGTTCCAATAGGATTTTCAGGATTTATTTCTGTCATAAGAACCATCACCTGACAATAGCAAACACAACAAAAAAAACAGCCAAATCAGTCTAGCCGTTCTCAAGGTATGGCGTGACAACGGGAAACGAGTTTCATTTTTATATAATTATGTACTAGCTTCTGCGCGCGACTTCGAACGCGCAACCACGAAAAAAATTTAGGAGTGGACTACCCCTAACATTTAGGGGGATGGAAAATAGATGTTGGCCGATTCTCATAGATACCGGATAAGCACAAAGAAATTCATCAAAATCAGTCAAGCCGTTTCGGAGGAGTAAGGCAACGAAAACTGTGACACGAGAATATCAATACATAGTATAAAACAAAGTCGCTTTCGCTGTATGTCCGTATGTATGCTTAGATCTTTAAAACTACGCAACGGATTTTGATGCGGTTTTTTTTAAAAGATAGAGTGATTCTTAAGGAAGGTTTGTATGTATAATACATGCATATTGCACCCGTGCGAAGCCGGGGCGGGTCGCTAGTTATATATAAGATGTAGTAGATTGTACTCAGTATAAACCAGTTTACTCCACTCTCTTTAACACGTGACCCGAAACTGGAATATAACCCTGTCTAATCATTCATGAAAGACGTATCGTATTACCAATTTTTACTTGCAATTTCAGTTGTCAAAAATATGACCCCACTCCATACTCGACGATGGGAGCCATTGACATTACTAAGAAAATGGCGCCGTGACCCTGATGTCCGTTTTCACGGCACGTTTAACTTATTTAAGACCCTTTAACCGAGTGACTGACCCCATAAGGCCAAGATTTTATCTCGTGACATAAAGCAGTTAAGATTTCTTCTTTAAAGCGAATAAAACGTAAGTTTTCGTGCAGAAAAACTTATTTCTTAAAGTTGAGTCTTAGAAAGAACATGGATTTGGATCTTTCAAACCGATTTTTCCAGTCTGATGTCCATTCTTTTTGTATTTATAGGTGAGGGTGTAAAGATTTGCCTCATTGATTGATCCCCTGATTGATTAACCAATTAATTTATTTTAAAAAGGCCTTTGTTATTTATCTACTATCCAAATGTGTATGAATTTTTCGAACCCATCTTGGAGTCGATTTAATGGAAACTAATAATTATTTTTCTTTTTAGAGCGTTATTATAGATTCTGGCTTATTAATATGGATCCAAAATTATCCGCAACTGGTTTCTTGACTTGATAAAGTTAATAAAGTCTACAAAGTTAGTTAAGCTCGATAAACTATGCAAAGACCGGCCGAAACTATCGGAACTTGACTTATTTGCTTCTATTGGATTAGCTTTAAGAGAAGATAATAGAGATGACGATACGACAATCAAAAGTTATTCTACTAAAAGCAACTCTATGTAGGTAATAAGTTACTGTCAAACTCGGTACAATTTATTAAAACCGAATAAAAGAAACAGTAACTCGACGCCCTGAATTAAACCCAAGGCACTTGCTGGCTTATCATACACTAGCTACTTCCGCGCGGTTTCACACGCTCTGCTCAGCTCCTATTGGTCGTAGCGTGACGTTTTATAGCCTATAGCTTTCCTCGATAAATGCGCTATCTAACACTAAAAGAATTATTCAAATCAGACTTGTAGTTCCGAAGATTAGCGCGTTCAAACAAAAAAACAAACTCTTCAGCTTTATACCTCTAATATTAGTATAGATTCACACACACCTACAACTCAACCAAAAGGGCAATCAGTCTATGACATTCTAAGATAAACTATGACAGTAAAAAGTTATCTATTAAGTAAAGTACCTTCTGGATAAAATGGTCTCTAGACAGGTACTTATAAATCCTAAGCTAGCAATGTAAACCCTCGGCTTACTTAGTCAAGTTAAAAGTACCTTGTGAATTACTTTGGAGTTCAGAACTGGAGGCTAAATAGGATGATCTACTTTTTTGTACGTAGTAATTTTTATTTTAGCTACAACTTAAGCATTTACATGTAGACTCTGTACTAACCAAAAAACACCTTCATTGTAATTACTCATGTTTTACTAAATAAATATATCTTTATCTTTATCTTTATCTTTATCTTTACAGTTGAGTAGTGACTACGGTTAGGCGAATGTAGTGTAGGGTGAATCAGGCATAATACTTTTAGGATGTACCTATATATAATGATCTCAGGTTGCATAAACCGACATGATACAGTCGACCAAAAAACGAAGTCGTATACAAAATAGCAGTGGAAGAAAAATGCTAGGCAAAAGTATATAGTAGGTAATTTAGAACTCACCTTTTAACCCCATAGACGTAGGCAATCCCGACACACTCAAAGAAGGCGATGATCAGCAATGGAAAATTTCCGCTGTACATGTCAAACAGTAAGAATATGTAGCTTCCGGACCCATGAGCGAAACCCATGGACAATAAACAGCAGAGAAGACACAGGCCCCCTGTTAAATACTCTTTTCTCAAATTAGGGAACAACTTCATGTCCACAATAGAAGTCACTACGCCTTCAAGGGTCCCGAATTGGGAGTCTATTCCTAATGTAAACAGCATCAGGAAGAAGAGGACGGACCAGAACTGAGCTCCGGGGAACTGGTTGATGGCTTCCGTGAAGATGATGAAGGCAAGGCCGGTGCCAGAAGCCGTCTGCGGAAGAAACATTTTGTTGAAGTTATAATCATAATTCATTGCTATGTTTCAAATTATTTTTGGAACAATACAGAGCTTTTATGAAACAAATTAGTTACTGGATAGGTAAAAGAATTTGTTAAGTGATTAGAGTATAAACTCACATTGTCCAATTCCTTCTGTAAGTCACACTCCGGTAGCTGTGGCATCACCAGAGACGTAAGGTTCCCATTGATGTCTACTTTTACCATCTGCCCAGCTTCAGGCAGCACCATAGACCTAAAGGCGGGTCCAAATACCTCCAGCAAGGTCTCATTCCTCACGTCTAAGCACTTTTCATACACCATCGTAGCCTTAAACCCAATGATTGAAAACACCACGATGCCAGCAAACATCGACGTTAAGCAATTAGTCATAGAGACCATAATGGCATCTCTGTAACAGTTGTTATCAACAGGATTGTAGGATGAGAACGCTATTAAGCCCCCGAAGGCTAAGCCAAGCGAAAAGAATATTTGTGTGCCAGCTTCTAGCCACACAACAGGGTCTAAAATTCTGTGCCACTTTGGTGTGAATAGGTGGATTAATCCATCGCTCATGCCTTTAAGAGTGATGCCTCTAAAGAAGAATATGACGAGGACGATGTATGGGAAGGTTGCTGTGACGTAGACGACCTTGCCCGAGGAGGCGATGCCTTTGATCATACACATGTAGACTAGGATCCAGGCTATGACGAGGGCTAGTGCTATTTTATAGTTGAACGTTTCAGGGTAGTTGATATCTTCTGATATTTGTAGAGTGGTGCGGTACCAGAAATATTGTGTCGGACTGCTGACCTGTAACAATACAGAGATACTTTTTGTAGAAACTTTACATTTTACAATCAATTTTACTTAATATGTTTATAAACATATTAAGTATCCTTTTGAGAGTTAAAAGTACACTTTTAACTCTCAAAAGGATACGCATGGGTATGCAATGTACCCATCTATCCGAAAATCAAGTAGTTATATCATCGACAATATATAAAAAAAAATAGTGACACATGTTTATTTTATCAACTATTATGTACATAAAAATAAAATTACAAGAACAACCTTTTCAGCAAGATTATGCTTGTGGTAAGCAAGAGTTGTTATTTATAAAATACATATTCGCAATATTATGTGGCACCTGCAGATTTTCCCTTGTCGTGGTGGCCTGGAGTTTTAACACGTCCGCTTCTCAAGCATGAAAGTGCGGGTTCGAAACCTACCAACGGCTAGTACCAATGTAACTTTTTCCGAGTTATTTATTTATATATGCTTTATTGTACACATTTAAGTAGCTTAAAACAAACAATTCAAGTAAATATGCGTACAATGGGCGGTCTTACCACACAAGTTATATGTGCTTTCTAAGTTTATCTGACAAACGGTGAAGGAAAACATCATGAGGAAAACTGGGCTTAATAATTTTCAATTATAAGTTTTAAATCGCCAACCTGCAAAGACAGTGCTCATTTCAAAAGTGCTCAATAGCAAGCGTGGTGATTAATTTTCTGGCCACTTATAGGCTGCTGATGATGATGATGATAATGATAATGAATTAATGCAAATAATAGAGTACCTATAAACATTAAAAGAAAACAATACCTACAGTAAAGTAACTGTGGATTCAACAGCCGTTGAATGAATGAAAAATGTTCGTTATTTAAAACAAAAGAGAATGCCTATCGACTAAGTTTTTCTGATTAATGCTGGCCAGATGCGAATCTTTATGAACGGAAAAAAAAGCTGTAATAAATTTCTGAGCGCTTTCGTAGAGTTTTTATGAATGGCAAGGCTATGAAAAACGTTCGAAACTTTTTTAACTTTTTATATTTACTTTAAGCGATTGTTTTTAAATAGCATTCAGTTCGCTGCACATAAAAGATCACGTCTTTTGATCTCCGAGACGAATGATACTCACATTATTAGCAGTTACTTTTCTACTGTTATATTAGGTATATAGGGCCATCTTATTACCATACGCCAGCCATAATTTCAAACTCCTATTACTGAGAATTTAGAATTGACAAAGAAACTTCAATAATAGGTATTTTCCCCGTCCTGAGAATCGAATCCCAGTTTTCTACCACAGCTGTCCTGCTTACAATAACAACCAAAATATAAAACTATTCAACTTCATTCAAATAAGTATTATATTATACAGGGTGCGTCACGAAAATCGGCTTTAAGTCAAGATTTATAGAGCATGTTACTATTATGACATAAATCGGATTTTATTTTGATCTCTCAATCTTCTTACGCCATTTTTGTATTGCGATCAATGCGATCACAAGATTCTAGGTCCGATGGATGGACGTAGTAGGTACCTCCTTCTTTGGCAGTCGGGTAATAAAAGTATAGGTAGTTAGTTAAAAATTAATAACTATTAACCAGAATTTCTGCCTCATTGGCCGAGTGGTCGCTAATGCGACTGCCGGGCAAGGTCTCGGATTCGATTCCCGGGTCGGGCAGAGTATTGAGTCGGGCAGTAATTGTGCCCGGTATATGGCAATAGACTCACCCCCTATTACATGGGTCTCGTAACATAAATAGTGAAAAGTGAGTGTTACATTGTACAGTAGCATAATGTGCACCTCTGTATATCCCTTCGGGGATAAAAGGCGTGATGTTATATGTGTTAACCATAATTTATGTGCTCAGTCTAAGAGTTGTGATAGTCACAGAGCGTAGTTAAGTGTTAAATGTTATTTTATTCATTAATTAATATTCACAAGTCTGTCTGTCCGAGTGAGTGACGGACAACTAACAAATGAAACAAATTGTCGATGTCGTAAGAAATTGCTTGGCATGCCCATAAATTATGGTCCTCAAGGGTCACAGATAAGTAACAAGAGAGGCTTTCGAAATTCCTACAGGAACAGATAAAATAACGTACGTATGAAGTAACGTAAAAAATGTACACAAAAATATCACGTAAAATATACAGGAGGACTTGTAACTCGACGTATGGTATAGGAGCTAGCAACGTTTGGAAAGTAAGAATTTTAGGTCAGCTGATTTTGTGATATGTCGTCCTTCTTGCACTTTCGTTTAGAGTCTAGGCTATCTGGCTGGCGGTAGCGGTTGCGTTCTTTAGTGCGCATCCTACCTGTCCAGGTAATAATCCTGGATTTTAAAAACATTTTAGAAGGCGTAATTTTTATTTTTTTGTTTTTAAATAAGTCTACCTGAAATACTTTTTTTATTGCCAGACATTTTTGACAATGCTAACTATGTGCATACGCGATTTTTTGTTTTTATTTTATTAAAATTTCAAAGTATTTTATAATGTCTGTAATTTTAATATTATGTTATTTAAAGATAATAAAAACTTAAAATAAAATTGCCAGACTTTAATTCGATTGTTAAGTCTTGAATTAAAATGAAAAAGTCATGAAAAGTATTGCAGTATTAAAGTGCAAGAAGGACGACATATCACAAAATCAGCTGACCTAAAATTCTTTCTCGAAAACGTTGCTAGCTCCCGTACTAGTATTCCTCTCGGGAGGTGATAATACAACTAATTTCCTACAAAATTGGCCCTGAGGTCCTAATAGGTGAGAAATAAGACGCTCATTCAGTTCAAGAGTGACTGTCACAGAGACAAGGAAGCGTGGGGTCATGTGGCATGTATTATGGCATGGCATGCATTAATTTTTGACATTAAATTAATAGTAATCTAACAAAACGCCCTTCCTCTCTCCTACCAATTATTAATGTTGCTGTGCCCGACAGGGTCCATAATTGTTACCATTGTATTTTCTATATGTGTACATTTTTTTTTTAAGGGGGGAAAATCATCGAATGACTGCTCCCGCCTGGGTGAGGCGGAAGGGAGTGTCAGACTCTTACTGACTAAAAACCACCCCGTTCCTTCTCCTGCACGTCGAGCCGGAGCCCCGGTTACCCGTTAGGTTCTCCGCGACTATATGTGTACATTATGGATGCAATAAATACTTGATTACTTGATTCATCATAGGAAAGGTCACTTTGAACAAATTTTGTAAATAATGATGCTTTTGAAATTGCACGTTTTCTTTTACACTTTACTTATCATCATTTTTTTTTCTCTTCTTTGGCAACCGAGTCTCCACAATGGTGTTGTCGACTATACTGCCAGTGTCGAGTGGCATCAATTTATAAACTCAATTTTGAGAACACTATAAATGATTTAGTGTTTATTGGTAGCTAATGAACCAAGGAAGTTTTTCTAATAGTTTGTACGCCTAGTGTAATATCAATTTTTAAGCTAAATGCAGTTTTATATTGACCAAATTAGTGACTCAAAACAAAATTTTATACTAATATACTTGCTATTTTAAAATGAATGGTATTTTTGACAGTATTAGTATTAATAAATGTTTATTGGTGTATTGACAGGTAACATAACATCATAACATAACATCACGCCTTTTATCCCCGAAGGGGTAGGCAGAGGTGTACAATATGCCACTGTACAATGTAACACCCACTTTTCACTATTTATGTTATGAGTCCCATGTAATAGGGGGTGAGCTTATGGCCATATACCGGGCACAATTTCAGACTCCGTGCTACTACTGGGAATTTTTTGAAAAACCCAGTAATACTTTTGCCCGACCCGGGAATCGAACCCGAGACCCCTTGCCCGGCAGTCGCACTTGCGACCACTCGGCCAATGAGGCAGTCATTGTATTAGTCATTTGTATTGACAGGTGTTAGATATTTACTTTATTATGTTTATATGCCTACAGGAACTACTCGAAACAAATGTTCAAAATTCCACACGAGCCAAACTGCACAGAGGACGCTGGTATAGTATATATTTCACTAAATTCTTTCCTTAGGGCGACAGAATAAAATTAAAGGACACATAAAGGACCAACCCTTGTCTTACATAAGTATATTACTACTTAACTTCTAAAAGTTTTATCAAGTAGCAACCCTTATACCAAGGGTAGGAAACGACTGAAATGGGTATAAACATGCAAGTCGAGATATTGAACTTGGATTTTATTCCCAGGTAGGTTCTGTTGTTATTCTATTTATTTATTTAATAATGTATGTACAGACAAACAAAACAGAGGATAACACATACTTATACTGTTATACTTACTATTATATAAAGCGGAAGAGTTTGTTTTTGACGTGACAACGTCTTAAATTAGGTTGCGGCTGGGAGTCACATATGAAAAAGTGTAACGCTCGGTAACGTTACGATGAGTCACCGAACGAGAGAGAGGCCCGCCGAATGCCTTGCGTCTCTCTCCCACTCAACTATGATCGGTCTGCCGCGCGCGCAGCACTAGTTCATTCAATTCCTTGTTCCTATTGTGCAATTTAATATTATTATATTCATATCAATAAATATTCTACCGAGAAAAAGACGTTGTCACGTAAAATCTTCGCCCGTAAAAACGACTTTACAGGCAACCATTTTTTTTTGTTTGTTTGTTTGTTTGTTTGAACTCGCTAATCTCCGTAACTACAAGTCTGATTTGAATAATTATTTTTGTGTTGGATAGTGCATTTATCGAGGATGGCTATAGGCTATAAAACATCACGCTACGACCAATAGGAGTTGAGTAGAGCATGTGAAACCGCATAAAAAATAAGAGTACACAGGTGCTACTTATCCTGTTGGAATTACTTCCAGTAGACCTGAGACAGGAAATGTAATTAAAACATAAGACACAGTGTCTAAAAGAAAAGAAAAAAATCATAAGAAATATGTATAAAAAATACTAGGTTTTAGTTTAACTATTGTATCATCGTCATTATCATCAACAGCCTATAACTGCCCACTGCTGAACAAAGCCTCTTCTCAC